TACTATGAATTGTGCTGCTATAAAAATTGCTAGGCATGTATCACTGTAATGTGCTGTGTTTAGCTCTTTCAAGAAGATACCACTTCTAGGGAATAGCTGGGTCAAATGGAAGTCCCAGCTTTAGTGTTCTGAGGAACCTCCATACTAATTCCACAGTGGTTGAACTATAGATTCACATTGCCACCCACAGTGCAGAAGAGTTCCTTGTCTTCCACAGCCTCACTAACATAGGTTATTACATACGACTTCTTGATCATGGCCAACATTTCTGGGATAAAATGGAATCTCAGGATTGTTTTAATTTGCATTTCTTTAATGATCAGTGATGTTGCGTATTTCTTTCTGTACTTATTGGCCATTTGTACTTCTGTGAAGTATCTATTAATTTCACTTGTCATTTTTTGATTAGGTCTTTTATGTTGACTTTTTAATGTAGCATTTTTTTCAAATTTATCTAATGAATAAACATAATCTTAATAAATATCTTAACCATCTTTTTCATTTGGTAGAAATGGACAAAGTCTAAAATGCAAATAACCTAGATTATTAGTAAAATTTTAAACTGATCCAAAAGCATACAAATTATTCATATTAATGGAGTACCATGTTATGATTCAATTGTATCCATCATATAATGTTTAAATCAGGTTAAATGTATCTATCACCTCAAGCATTTATTACTTTTTTTTTGAGGAACCTCTACAATAATTAACCAAGTAAAGTAAAATAAATTTAAAAAATTAAGAAATTTAGAGTTACTTTCTTTAAATAATTATTACAAAGCTATGCAATAACAAGATTATGATTTTAGTGTCCACTTGACAAGAAAGAGGCTAAAGAAAATACCCTAAAATATATAAGATATATTGTGAGTTAGTTGTGACAAAATTGTCAATGAAGATTATGGGAAAAGAAATGTCTTTTCAACAAACATGATCAAATATCATTCTTGGCTTAAAACATAAACATAATAACTAAAAGTGTAAGTTTTCTGAAATTAAACATAAGAGAATAACTTTGTGACTTTGAAGTAGGCAAAGATTTTTTTAGAAAAGATCTAAAATCAGTCTATAAGAGAAAAATGGATATATTTAGTTTAGTTACAATTCAAATTTTCAACTTTTCAAGCACACCCTAAAGAAAATGAATAGATAGCTGACACACTGGCAGAAAATATTCATATTGCAAATTTCTGATTTAAAAAACATAATTTAAAGATTACTTCAAATCTGTAATAAAAAGTCAAAGCAGTAAAAAGGGGCAAAAATCTCGAGTAGACTCTTCACAAGATTATATGTGGATGAACAATAAACACATCAAAATATGCAGTCTCATTAGGGGTCAGTAAAAAAGATAAAAATCATAATATTGTAATATTTTAGCTACTAGAAAAAATAAGCAATTTTGACAGCACTGATTATTGGCTATGATATGGGACAACTGAACCTTCCATAATTTACTGATGGTAATGTAGAATGATATAACCTAATTCTGAAACTGTCAGTTTCTTATAGTTAAATCTCCAGCTACTGTATGATCCATGTATTTCACTCATAAGTATTTATTCCAGAGAAGTAAGAACATATGTTCATAAAATTACAATGTTTATGGAAAGTTATAGTATCCAGGAACTGAAAACAACCCAAATTCCAACAACAGGAGAATGAATAACAACCTGAGTTATTTTCATGCAGTTGAACACTACCCAACAACAAAAATAATGCTGTAGATACGCATTAAATCTCAGTACATCAAAGGTATTATATTGTGCAAAAGAAGCCAGAAAGAAAAGACCACATGCTATATATTGCATTTGTGATGTCAGAGAAAACTATTGTGTGATTTAGAAGCTGGAGAATGATTGCCTTTGGGGAAAGATTGACCATAAAGGGCAAAGAAGAAACTTTGTGACATGAGTATTCTACATTTTGATGGATGTGTTGGATAATCAGAGGGTATATTTGTCAGAATTCATCAAACATCACTTCAGTTCTGAGGATGTTGTTGTATGAAAACTCTACCTACAATAAATTGAATGAGCAAACAACAGAATGTCCAGAAACAAGAGGAATAAAAGAGCAGGAAAGACCACTTGCAGCTCTTTAGAAATAAGGTTAAAGCCAATATAATAAAAACAGTGCTCTATCATGGAGTTCCTTGCAACACCCAGCCAGTTCATTGTCAGCTGTTTGCCTCAGGAGGTGAAAGACTGTTAACCTGGAGGAGTCAAAATGTCTTGAAGACAGGATGCTTGGCCAGCTTGGTTAGAGAAGGGCCTTACCCAGAAAACAAATAAGCTTCCTAGGGGACAATCAGGTGAAAGTTATTTATTTGGCCAAACTGTCACCATGCCTTGCTTGCCTGCTTTGCTACTGAGGACAAACATCTGTTCCCAGCAAAACTCTATGCCTTTGTTGTTCCTCAATAAATCTGGGACTTGAGTCAGTTCAAGGGTTCACTCTATTCTGGAGAAGACCCTCCCCCAAGATATAAAGGTATTTTCTGTCTATTGCTTCTTCATTGGTCTAACAGGGTTTGCTGGCCATTGGTATACAAATAGACCAACAGACAAATGGAACCGCATATAATCCAGAAATAGAACAAATTAGTTTTATAAATGTGGTGCCCAACACAGACTGCAGCTCAAAATTGGTAGGGCAAAAATTGATTTTTTAATAGAGGTTATTAGTAAGACTAATAGCCACATGAAAATAAAGTGTACACTATCAGGATAAATTTAAAAAAAGGATCAAGTAGTTAAAATAAAAGGAAAGAATTGAAATTCTGGAAGAAACTATGTGTGTACTCCTTTTTAACCTGGAACTAGAAAGCACATTATTCAAAATCTAGATCAAATACAGGAAGGGTTATGTACAAGGTGTGTTAAAGTATAGAGTGCATATTGAAATTTTAAAATTATGACAGAAAAAGGTATGCTGCTGTTAACCCCCCTCAGAACACGCCCCCTCCTTTCAAACACATACCCCTTTATTCTGGCCACTTTCTAAAGTGGTTCTGGAAGTCCTTTTTTATGAGTGCCTTTAGTTGAGATGTCCTGGCTGCCTTGCTATCCAGAATCCATCCAAAGCATTTACCTCTCATGGTGATGTTGACTTTGGAGAAGAGCCAGAAGTCACCCAGTGCTAGATCAGATGAATAAAGTAGACAGATAATGGAAATTATTTTGTAGCCTGCCTTTCTGTTGGACTCAGCAGAAGTATTCGCTATGCTTTTTATTATACCTCATAAAGACACTCGGGAAAGAGAACTTCCAGAACTGCTTCTGAAAGTGGCAGAGACAATAGGATGTGTGTCCTAAGTGAGGGAGATTAACGATAATGTGTCTTTTACTGGAATATATTTTATTTATTTGTATTAGTATGTTTGCATTATCATTAGTTATGTTATATACATGTCCCAACTCCTCACATAATGAATTTTAAAATTTAAACATTCACTGTAATTTTATCACTCCTTGTACATTTGACTGGTATAAAAAAGAACAAAATACTCCAAAGAGCTTTAATAAATCTTTGCCTTGTAAATTCTAATCAGTAAAACGACAAATGATAACCTGTAAATGAATTAGATTTTGCAAATTATTGTATTAAAGGTTGATATTCATCGCATATGAAGACATTTTGAAAATAGAAAAGAGAGAGTCTAACATCACAACAGAAAAATAGGTGGCAGAAATCACTGGAAAGTTTACAATTCAAAGAATGTAAATGGATTTTATGCAAATGAGGAGGATTTTCAACCTCACTCATAAGATACATGCAAGCAAAACCTTCTCTGAGAAATCATTATTCTGTCTAGCTGAAAAGGGACCTATTTGATTAACAGCCCAGTCACAGGAACAGAACTCGGTCTTCACATGAGGAATGCCTGCACTTTCTAAAAGGGACTGTGGTCCTTGGGGAAGTGGCAGATTTTGGATATGATCCAGGAATTATCCAAGAAAAACCTGAAGCACCATGTCTAGACACATAGCGAGGTACTAGTTAACATCAAGTCCTATTAGTTTTGTAGAAAGAATTTAAAAGCACTTTTGAAGTAGCCAGAATTGGCCAAAGATAAGATTTTTTTTAAAATTGAAGACAGATTTACATGCATTTTATGCATAAGGACATAAAGGCAGTTTAAGAATCAATAAAGACCGTATCTACAATTGTGTTACAATGCATTGCATATATCTGACTCACAAGTTCATAGTAGAACTAAAAAAGGATGCAATAAAAATTGGATTTTTTTTTTTTTTTTTTTTTTTGGAGACAGGGTCTCACTATGTAGTTAAAACTGACCTGGAACTCACAGCGATCCTTCTGCCTCAGCCTCCCAGGTGCTGGGATTACAGGCATGCACCACCACACCTGGCTACAAAATTGGAAATTCTATTGAAAGATACTACAAGAATAGCTTAGTATTGTTTTTTTTGTTTGTTTGTTTTTGTTTTTTTTTCTTTTATTGAGTTTATTGGTACATTTTAGGTATACAGTACAGTTACATTCATTATTGGGATCTTGTACCTTTACATGACAGGTGGTGTTGGTTCTCATTTTTTCCCCTTGTCCCTGCCCTCCGTTTTTTGTTTTTTTGAGACAGGGTCTCACTATGTAGTTGAGACTGACCTGGAACTCACTATGTAGCCCAGGCTGGTCTCGAACTCACAGCGATCCTCCTGCCTCAGCCTCCCGAGTGCTGGGATTACAGGTGTGCACCACCAACAGTTTAGTAATTTTAAAAAAGTAAGTAGGTATAAAGGTTGAAGATCCTGTTTTGCCTTTCCTATGACAGTACACCACTGGGGAAATAAACTATAGATGAGAGCAAGTTTCTCTTTACGGAAGTTAATCTCTAAAGAAGAAATGGCTCAGTTAAAGTGTTGGCATTTTGTAGTGGCCAAATGAAATGTGTCTTGTCATTAATAACCAATAGTTATTAATATTACAAAATGAAAGTCCTCCCAAAATCTTCTAATATGTACAATGTTATCCTAGATGCCGAAAAGAACCAAGAAAAATGAGACTCAGTTCTGCCCAGGCCGTGAGCTTCACTGCCAGGTAAGGACATGCAGAACACCAGGGAGCACAAGGAATAAGCAAGCAGTCAGCTAAACCCACACCGAGGAGGTCTAGTTTATAAACACACTGCAAGAATAAAGACAAATAAAAATGGGAGGCTTACCAATTAAATACAGAAGTTATAGTAATCAATCTCAATCTGGGTATATTATTTTGATTCTGGCTCAAAAAAAAGGGTTAGGGGTTGGTAATTATTGGAAGACAGGAGACAACTATGTGGGATTTCATTGTGCTACTCTGTTCCTTTTTAATTTTTTCCGTAGCAAAACTTAGAAATAATATAACATGTTACAAAATATAAGATATATTAAGGGCATACAAGTTTTATATTTTTTTGATGTTGTGCCATGTAACATTCTTTTATATTTATAATATTTTAAAATAAAATATTTAAAATACTGTGCTACAGATCTTAGAACAAACACATGAAAGAAACGAAAATGTATCATGGGGCTGGGGCTGGGGATGTGGCTCAGTGGTGGAGACCTTGCTAACACGTATGAGGCCCTGGGTTCCATCCCAGCACCACACGTACGCACGCACACACACACACGCACACACACACACCCTCTATCTATATTGCAGAGTGGCATATGACACTAAAATCAACACCGTACCTAAGCTGTAACAGAGGGATCTTCTCTCTTGCCATTGAATTCTCCCTTCCATCTCATTTCCCTCATTTCCATTTCTAAACATCTCCTTAGCAGCATTCTACAAAGATTTACTCTCATCACATTTCTTTTCCTACCATAAACAATTCCTAAGTACCGATTCACCTTTTCTAAATTCCTCCAAATCTCAGCTCTCCAATTCCTTTTTTAAAGCAAGGAAAAAGAGAAAGATTTTTAGAATGCATGGTTTACTCATTTACTAGCTTATTCATTTAATAAATAAGTATTTGTGAAATAAATTTCCTGTGCTCATAGCAACATTTTTCCATTAATTTGCTACATGAACATAGGCAAGTCTGTTTTATTTTGAACCTAAGTTTTTAAATATGGATAATGATATATTTGGATTTTACGATCGCTAAGGAATTCTTGCAGCTTTACAATGTTGTATAACACTGATTCCATCATTTATTTCTATTTGATATGTATTATATTTTTAATGCATGCATTACTTTTATATCATGGGAATACATCCTGTTCTATACCATATCAATACATGAACCATCATGGGATTAAAAATCAATTTATTTATTTTAGTTTTTTATTGCAGTGAAACAGACTTCATTTTAACTATCACTTCCCAATGGGTTAGTGAAAATTATTCCACAATCGTTTATTTATGAGATAAACTATAAAGTGGGTAACACTGACTTAAACTACTTCCCTAGGTAGAATAAATTGTATTATTCTTTTCCTTTTCTACTTAATATGCTTTATATTTGTCCCTTTACAATAAAATCATTCTAAAATATATTTGTCTTCAAATGTAATCATGAATCAAAATTTTGAAGAGGAATGTAACCAAATATTAATCTCTTTTTTGTATAGTCTAAAGTTTGTTGTGTTATTCTTCAGTGCATAAAAATGTTCCTAATTCCATGTTGCATATTGGGCAAAATAGATGATGCTACCCATAGTCCAAAGCAAAATGGCAGTGACAGAAAGCCAACCTAGAGCCAATAAGTAGCCCTGGCATTGAGGAAATCAATTTCTAGGCTCCCCAGTAAGTCATTCAAGAAAAAAAATTGGTGGGAAACTCTGTCATACTCTCTACTTTCATAAAATGAAAAACATGTTTGTTTTCAAGCAGACTTCTCAACAAATCTATCAGAAGGAAATTCATCCACCCATGAGCTTTCATTTTGAGGGCAATACAGTGTAATAGTGTCTCCAAAAAACATTCACTCCTGTTATGAGAGCAGGAAAATGTGGCATTGAATGAGAAATAGAACATCATGGTAGCAATCATGGCTATATCACCTAAACTACAGGAATCAGGATAAGTTTTTTCCAAACAAACAAGCTACTTACATGAGTTTCAAATATATGGCTGATCAGAAAATCACTTCAACACAGTCTGCAATATTGGTAAACAGGAGCTTCCAAATAAGAGTTAATACTTGTAATTTAAAAAACAAAGCCCTTAATGTGAGATTTTCAAAGCGATATTAATATTGCTCATATACAGTTAGCAACAGGATTGTAGAACTATTTATACGGCTGTGTGCAGTATGGACACAGAGCTTCTAGTTTCGAGAAAATTTTAAGCTTCCAGGCATTTGATCTTATTTCCTGTATCCAGTTAACGATATAACCCATCCTGCCTGACAGTTTCTGATGTAACGGTTAAGATTATTTAAATAAACAGATTTGGTAACTCAGAGAGAAACTAATTACTCTGTTAGAACTTCTCCTGTTGGTGCTTCTTCTGTTACATTAAGAGTGTAAATAGCTTACCAAGGGATTTGCTTTACCTGGCCTGCATTCCAGCCTTTCTGTGTGGGAGGAAACTGCCAAGGTGGGGTTCACCAAAGAGCAGGCTCTGAACTTCAGAGCACAGAATTTTTAAAAAGGCTTCTTGGGAGCAAATCTGTGAAAGTGAAATGAATGATGCATAATTCAGTAGGGAAAAGAGTTGAGTTGAAATAGGGGTCCTAAGATTCCTCAGCCCAAAGTGGAGTTCCATAGCTACAATAATACTGCAGCGTGGTTCCCAACTGGGCATAGATGTCCAGGCCTTTATTTTGTCACTTCAGATAGTGAGTAGGTGTGAGTCACTGGGTGCCCAGGAAGGGCCTGACCTTAAGACAGGTGGCTTCTGCAGCCGAGAGAACTTCTGACAGAGTCAACAGTAATAATCAGCTAACATCATTCTTGGCAGCTGAATTAATCCATTTAAAGAATGAAGTTTAATTGCAAAAAGGTGAAGAAGATCTGGGTTGCACACTGCATTGACTACTAGAGAGACTCTGAAAGGAAATCATTCAGTCTCTGGCCTGGGATCTTTGTTCCTCACCATATTTCAAAACCTTCACCACATGGAAACCAGAGCATTCCTCTTAGGTGCACAGTTACTTAAATACACACACACACACACACACACACACACACACACACACACACACACACACACACACAGACTTGAGCCCAATCTTTAGTTTGTTAGGTTCTTTTTCTCACCCTTGCAATTTCACTCTTTAAAGGCGAGGTATCTCGAATTCCTTAAAATATTACAGACAACTGGACTTGGCACCTTCAAGTAATCCCATCTACTTCGGAGGCTGAAGCAGAAGCTCTGAGAGTTTGAGACTAGTCTGGGACACTTAAAAGGATGGTCTCTCAATAAAGGCATAGAGAGAGAGAAGGAGAGAGGAGAGACAGAAAGAGTGGAGAGAGATGAGAAGGGAGAGGAAGGACGGGAAGAGGAGAGGAGGGAGGAGGGGAGGGGAGGGAGGGCAAGGAAACAGGGAGGGAAGGCAGGCCGCTGGTGTAGCCCAGCACTCCTTGAGTTCAATACTCGTTACTGCAAAAACAAACCAAAACCAAAGCGAAACACACACGCACACACGCACGCACACTCAGGATCTCCCTCTGTTTTAGGTCTTTGTATATGCTATACTTGTATTTTCGCTGTGCACACAAATATAGTGCTTTTTCCTGTGTTTTACCACTCTGTTCCCTACTTTATACATCAACCACACTCGGTCCTGACTCATTTCTTATTACCCCTCTTTCTTACTACTTCATTTTTTTTCCTGTATCTTCCAAGTACTGCTCCTACTCTTCACTTAGACAACATCTTTACTTCAGCTTCTGTGTTGTAATTGTTTACTTGACTTCATTCTTCCACCAGACTTCTCACAATGAGCCACCTGAAGGAGGGCCAAGATTGTGACTTCCTCATCACTGTATTTTCAGTGTCCAGCACAGTAGCTGAGGCATAGTATAGGATATGTTAAATAACCTGTGAAAGTTTATGATTGGAAGCTAACTTAGCTTCTCATGTGACACGTGGCAGAGTGCCTTGATTTTTGAGCTTGGAAAAATAATAAATTATAAAGTCTCGAGCTTTAGCTTCCTTAGAATTTTCCTACTGCTTTTATCCTCATGCGGTCATCTCTAGGGCCTATAATTTGGAACTTGGAATCAACTCAGCATGTCCAGCCTCCATAGGATGAACAAAGCCTAAAATTTCCTCATTTCCCATAATCCCTGTTTCTGTCCTTTTCCACCTATTTCAACAGAGAGCAGTGCCCACTATGTTTCAGCCAGTCATCTAAAGTCTGTGTTCATTTTATTCTTTAGCCCTAAAATATATTTCTTTCTGATTTGTATTTAAAAACAACAGTGGCTAGATTAGCCTAGGTAGCATGAGATTTACCTACATTATCATGAGTACTGATAATAAACAGTGAGAGTGCTATTACTATCACATTTGAAATATGAGTAAAACAAGGGCTTAAGTGGAAGGTTCAATGTAAAAGAGATACTAAGAAGTGAAATTCAGTTTCACAGTTTCCATTAGAATTACACTATTATAGTACATTAATTTTGAATGACCTAAACCACCAGGAATGAATCCTCCTTCTCATAAGAGGATGACAAGGAAGTTTCCAATCATAGTAAAGTAGTTATGAGTACAGATATGCACTTTTATCCCTATTAAACTCTATATCGTTATGCTTTTGAACAAGATGGTTGTTTTTCAGTTATAGAGAGTACTAATAGATGTAGCTGCTACTAGGTTATTGTGAACCATAAAACATACATTTAATTACAAGTCCTTAGCCTTGTTCCTATCATGGGTCTAATTCTCAACAAATGAAATTTTCTCATTAGGAAAAATATCATGAGATAATTTATTTATTTTCCTAATCCCCCAGAAATTCCTGTACATGGAGAGCCTATAAAACAAAGATTGCAAGCGCTCTCTCTCTCTCTCTATTTCTCTCCATAAGTGATAAATCCAGCCACATACTTGACATAAGCCTGCCGAGACTGTGATACTCTTAGAATCCCTGCCCC